GTCTCAGTTAAGCTGCCCACCTAACACTAGTTTTTATTTGTATTTTTTTAGAGTCGTGGCCCTGGTGTTATGTATGGGTAAAATGTGAAGAGGCACTGTTGTTACGAGCTCTTAGAAGTTTCATAGCCTTGAAAGAAATCACGAAGGTGTAGAAGAATCGGATGTGTAGAGTTAATGGAGCAATGATAAAATGTATGTAACACTAAACAAGTGAGTACTGGGTCTGATTGATTTCCTTTGACTGTGTTTTGTCGCCTTTAAAACACCTGTAAGGGTGTAAGCATGTATGTGGGCTACTTCCTATTTTTTTTAAGAATCCTTTCCTGTCAGAATTTATTTAAAGTGCACTTTAACATGGTGTTAAATAACATTTGCATGCCTGTCTTGCACAAAAGCAATGATGCATGAAAGTGATGCATCTACAGCCCTTCCTGGTTTCTTACTATCATTTCACAGGAAACAGACAGATGTACATTCTCTGTCTCAGTTGGTGCACATCAGACAATACATGAAACTCATCAAACCCACAGGGCTGATCAGAAGTTTCTAATCTGTCAAAGTGTTTATGCAAATAATAATATGCGCTTCACACACTGTGTAATACAAGGATAACAGGATGTTTTTTACTGCTGAAACAGTGAAAAACACGATTTAATATCATCCAAGGAATTCATTAATAGTATTATTTGTATACTTCTCTACAACAGACATCTAATGAGACGTGTGAGTTTCTGCCTTTTTTTTTTTTCCACATGGCTGTTGCTCCACTCAAATGTTTTCTGAAATGAAAGTATTTCATCTTCCTCCTCTGCCTTTCAGATGATTTCCCTCCAAATTTAGTATTAGTCTTTAACTCCACCTTTCGGGCTGTCTGCTCTTAACAGGCTTCATCAGGTCTCAACAGTCTTTTAGTTATTTTCAGGAAGTGACATCTGTGCCATAGCAGTTACATCTTGAGGTCAGCTTTGCATTACATGAGTCAATGTGATTGCAAAAAAGATGAACTGACATCTGCAAAGTGTCTCTTAAATTCAGTTTAAATGTGAGGCCACTTTTTTAACATTCAGAATGAGAATGACACAACAAAAAACAAACACACATAAAAACAACAATTATATACAGAAGGCCTGTCACTTAACTAAAAGCCCAACACTGCCCTCCACAGCAGAACAGATATTAGCACAGCCTCACCTTCTCTCTTTCTAACCTCTAGTCATTGTTGATAAAGCTCATAAGTCTCCGTATCATTGCTGAAAGGGCTGAGTTGATTATCATTGAGTTGAGGATCTCACTTTCCTTCCTCATTTCATGGCTGGAAGTGTCCTGAAGTGTGTGTAAGAGCTGTTGTTGTAGCAGCAGTGCCATGACAGTTAGATTGCCTGAAGGCACCCAATCACAACATTATTAGCAAGGAGAAATAAATTGTGCTCCTCTTCAGATTAAGTATGTAGGAAGATGGTGATGAAGCTAATTTAACAGCTCCTCCATTTCTCCCAACATTTACCTCTCTATGTTTTTTTTACGTTAAGGATCAGGGGACTGTGTGCCACTCCAACAGGTCCCATTCCAGAGGAGTGTTAGCGTTTGAAACTAGTGATGTGTCGGTCACGAACGAAATGGTTCTTAGAGCCG